GTAAACCTGACATTTAACAATATCTCATACAGATAAATTCACACTTCAACAAATACATATTTTCAAAAAGACCTTGGTGAATGGTGATATTACTTTTTAATAATAAAATCATTGCATCTCCAGGGTAAAAGGAAAAAAAGTCCCCCTCAAAACTGCCAAAATGAAAGACAAAAAGGAGGGAGGACAAAAATGACAGGGCACAAGCAGCCTATAGATTTTATTGATCTTGCTTTCAATTAGGTTTAAGACGGGACACAGCAGAGAAAAGAGTGGTTGTCTATGCGCACATAGCTAGGAGTGTGTGGCAGGCAGGGCTATTTAATGCCTCTATTTATGTATGCCACTCACAAAATTCTCTAAGTTATCTGGCGCTTTAATATGAATATTTAGCACAGAAATCGTCTTTGGTTTCAGCGAAACATTTCCCCCCGTACTCAACCCATGATAGTCGTGTGTTATTTTGTGCAGCTAAAGAAGGCTTAGCCTGCATTTCTTATGCGCTTGATAAATGCATGCGTATCATTAAATCTGCTTTTGCCAGATAACATCCATAATGTACTTGAATAAAATGCAAGCCTGCCGAGAAAGATAAATACAGAGGTGTGGCGAGCAATCATCTTCTGGACAACTCAAAGAGAGCTCAGAAATTCAAAAAGAGTAGTGAGAAGAAAACAAATTAAACAAAATAAAGAATCCATATAATTTGTTATGATGAACTTTACTTATACAATGGCAATTAATTTGTTATTCTTGTAAACGAAAATTAATATTTACACTGACCACGATTACTTACTTAATTATTTAATTATGATGAAATTACTGCATGAGATTTACTAAATGTTCTAGCTAGTCTGACTAGCATGACAATAATAATAATAATAATAAAAACGTTACTTATAAAGCGCTTACCACCGAAGTCTCTAAGCGCTATACACATAAAATAGACTGATATACAATTACATCTTATACAAAACTAAAAATGCAAATAAACATACAAATTACAATACAAATGGAATACACGTCAAAGTGAACAGAGTTAATTAATCATCAAACGCTATTTTTATTAAATGTGTGTTGACAAGTTTGCATTACTAAGGAGGTTGTTGAATCAACCCAAATAATCACAAATCACAGTCCCATAGTAGTTAGTTAGAGACCAAATTAAAGCGAAATGAAGGTAATTGAAAGAATAGCATGCTTTTTATAAGTCTCCATTTTAATTATCTTCCTAAAAACTGATTTTTAAAACAATTCAAACAGTTATTGCTTTACAAACTGAAGCTTTAAAAATGAATTCGTATTCAAACTATCTTTCTTCTCTCTCTTCATTTCATTCAGATCAAATCATACATTATTTAATTTCATCCTTTCAGTTATATTTCCAGCATATCCAGTATGTTTCTATTGCCTGTTCTTTCAAGATTGATTTGTTGGGCCTGAATAAAGGGTTCACCGCAATATCTACAAAATAAAAACATAGTATGACATTCATTTTTGTTGTTGAAGGATTATAATTGTGGCTCTATTTCAAGAAAAATGTCTAACTTTTTACAAGCATGTGATCCAAATAAGTGCCTATAGCAGAACAACAGTGTGTCTTTGTGTAATGGTACAATAGCTTCTTTATGCAGGTACCAAGTATTAAGACAATGCTATAGCTATACAAGCACACTGATTATCAGGTCGATTGTTTACGCCTATGTTGAGAACCCTTGTGTCAACTCATTGATTAAGTACATTGTTTATAATGAAATGCCTTTTGAAAACAAATTACCACAAACAATGTGAATAGTGTGGTTCTTGAACAGAAAGCAAAAGCCTGTAATCAACAAAGAGAACTTGATGTTTGTTTCTGAACTAGTATTCTGTCTTCTTAAGGGCCATTAATTAACTAGTCTTGTTCAAATCCAGCAACAAAGGTTTGTGTATTCAACCTTCTTAAAGAAAATTCATTGTTTTACAGAGAAGAGATTGATTAAACTATAATAATCAGAGTTGATCACTTAGCCATGTTTTTAGACGAGCACTGAGGCAGTTGTTTTTTTTTATCTTGAAAGTTTTTATTTGTGAAAACATCAACATAAAAAAATGCAAAATGTGTTACATCTGTTTTGCAGAAAACAAACAATAATGTTGTTGTACACATTTACAATTTTAACTCTAAAGAGACATGAAAGTTATTTTAACACAATATATAATCTGAATTAAATCATTTTATGACCTATATATTTTTACGAGGCAATATGCTCAAATCATATTTGCACTTATACGCAACATAAATTAAGCTATAAACTATATATCAAGCAAGGAACAATATTGATGATTGTTACAGGCTATCATTAACCAATAACTAAACACATGTGACCCCACTTATAGTTGTTTAATCATTAATCAATAATAATATTATTAATAAATTTATATCATCCACAATGTGCTAAAAATCCATGGCAATACGACTGCAAAGATTTCTTATCATTCTATCATTGTAAAAGAAATTGAGAATTAAAATATGACTAGCTAGAGAGAAAATATGACTAGCTAGAGAGAACATCTAGATAATTTTAAAGATAGAGGAGAGTGAAAGAACAACATTATTGGTGGAGTTACGGTGTCAGTGTACTATGATGAGGTACTATGGCAGACAAACCTATGTTTACCCAATCAATTTGTTGTAGTGGCTACGCATTTTATGAAGCGCTCCGTAAAGTGGGACTTTTTTCTCTATCCACCCCTTTACTCAGCCACTACCTTTCTTACTTACGCTGCACTCTCCTCAATGCTTATCATAAAGCTACTTCATAATAATTCTATAATGCTGGTTCCTTCGTAACAAAAAAAGACTATGTATTGTAATTCAGCTTTAGCTAGCAAGCAAAAACATTAATTCCTTAATTAATATGAAATTGGATTGTTCCCTCTCTTCAAAATAATACATAATATTGCAGAATTCAATGAATTTGAGCATTGCCACATCAGTTCTCTTAATTGTGCAGGATAAGCTATCTTATTGACAATCCCATGGTAATTTATAGCCAATTCTATTAACATAACTGACAAATCTGTGAACAAGATGCCAAGGGAAATAAGTGCCCTCTGATGAATGAAATATAGGGGACACTTTACAACAGTGAAAGTGGAATTGTTGCATTTCTCACTGTCATTTGAAATGATTTACTAGCAATGGGTGACACTATAATCTAAGGGGATATAATTGGTGGATAAATTGTATTCCTACAGAGATGACTGCTTGATTTATATCATCCAAGTCAGCCTCATCAATGATCACAACCTTTTCACTCAACATATGTCATTCAAACTTCAACATTTAAATAGTCAAAATAAATAAAGACAAAGTTGCCCTTTCACTGTAAATATTTTACTACTGCTACAATGTGTGGCTGGAAGAGAAGATGGCTGTGGGAAACTTAGGAAAGTTAAGATTGTTGAAGAAAGAAGAAAACCCAGAATGACACACCTGTCAAGTTCAAAGACCAGTCAATCTCAGATGATATCAAAATCTATTACTATTAGCGATAAAGATGACTATAAACACATTTAGTGAGCAACTTAAGCATTTAAATGATTCAGAATTCAGAACAAATACAGTTACACATTATAAAGGAAACCATTTTCATATTCGAGAGAATCAAAAGGCAGAAAGAAAATAATGCAGATAAAAAAGGTAAATATAAAAAACACAAGAAAACACTTTACTTTAAAGTTTAACTATTGTGTAGCAGTGAGTAAAACTAAAACAAAATCAATTAAGTAATTAAAGAAGAAGGGTAAAAATAAATAAGAGACACATAAGCATGATGGAAAGAAAAAGAAGGAATTGGGATGCAACAATGTCTACCACAGTACAGTAAGGAAAGTAACAGAAGAGATTTAGAGAAAACATATCTGCACATTGGGTATGCGGATGGTGCCAGGCCCTATCTAAACTGTAGCGCTCTTGTGTAAACCTCAATGCGAGTACTCACGCAATCAAACCAGCGAAATTTTATATTCCGCAAAACCTAAGTCAATATCGGGGAGAACTGATAGCGGGGTGAAAGTGGGCGATTTAGTTTCTCCAATGGCCTCTGCCTGCACTACGCAGCAGGTCGAATCATAGTCTCATGCTCGCCACAATAGTTTGAATATACTTCCTAACAACGGTCATTCTTTATATCACTTTTTTTCTCAAAATGATGATTATGCTTGCATTGAAAGAGCTTAAATATAATCAAACATAAATCAACATGATAATAGGAATACAAGACACAGGTTAGTAGCTTGTGCATTTCTTTTTAATCTCTCTCTCTTTCTCTCTCTATTCTGTCTCTTCCTCTCTCTTAATATTTAACATTTAAAAGTGCATGAAATTAATACTTGAATGTACTCTTGAATGCTACTTTCTCATGCACATGAATGTGCACCATCTACATTCCCTGGGGATATCCACTAGACAAAGATACCTCTTATTATTTTTCTATTCTATTCTATATATCTCTTTTGTTTTTGTTCATTTGTTTGTTGGTTTGTTAGTTTGCTTGCTTCCTTGGTAGTTTTTGTTGTGTTTTTTGTTTGTTAATTAAATTTTAGAACGATAGTGTGGCATGAAAGCAAGATGTAGTACCTACTCAAACTTAATTGATTTTGTACAAAATTTATATGAATATAAATTAAATTGCTATACATGTACGTTGCTGTTCTTTGGTAGCTTTGCGCATCTAAACAAATGTACAGTTTAAAGGGACAGTCATGTTTGTTACTCTGTATCATAAATTTACAAGAAAAATATTTCAAAAGTAGGCATAGGTCTATGAATTATTTTTCCTTTAGGGTTATACTAATTTGAAACCCAGTTCACCTCTTCACTACTTCAGTGCATGGTGATGCATAGATATCAATTTAATTGTTTAACAATTATAGCTCTATGGTGAATGATGACATACAATGGGGATACAATCAAACATATAGAACTAAACATATAAATGCAAAAGATTGTTACTTACCAACCCATTCAAGTAGATTTATACAACACTCTCTGCCAATGGAGATTATATAGGAGCACAATATTGCTTCCTAAAAAATGAGATGATTTCTCTACTTCAATCCTGATCCAAAAGCAAGAAGATGAACAAAATGTGAGATTCTTCAGGAGCAGCTAAGCGTCTTTTCGATCGAAACAAAAATGCATGTCCAAACAATGCTGTGTGGTTACTTTATGTAAAACAATCCTTTGCCATCATCATCCTGAAGATATTTGCATACTGCGATGAAATCATCAAGTAGTCTTAAACTCTTTTTTTTTACAGAATCACATTAACAGCGACATGTAAGCACAACTGTCCCACTGTAACTGTCTTTGAAACATGAAATCACAGGTTCACTATTCAGTAGAGTACATCATTCGTTCCAAATTAGTGCCCCAAACATTCTGGATAAAACAGTGTTATGAAGCACACAAGCAATGGCCAGCAGGTAGAGAGAGACAACCTCACCAGCAGACAGGCAGGAAATCTTAGTGGGCATGCAGCGGTCTGGTCGTTAGTCAGTCGGCCGTCTAGGTAGAGATTGAAGTGATTTCAATACAGCGTGGCTGGCCAGCTGACCGGTATTCTCAGCTCAGGCAGTGAACCCGGACACGGCTCTAAGCAAGTCGTCGTCTGTGGTGAACCAACGGAGAGAGGTCTGCTCAGCTCAGCTATGGACAATGTACATGGCCAAGTCTTACAATTCCTCTCAATGACGTAAATGATGATGATCAATTCAATTCATTTTGCTTATGTCCACAAAATAAGGAAATACTTGAATTTGTAGAAATATAATTATCTAATAGTGTATTTCACAGTATGTATTTAAACTCTATCTTTAAACTGTTTCCATCCGGATGAAGCAGAACAAAAAGTGAAAAGGGATTCTAAGGTGGACAAGAATGAATTTAACTTTTAAGCAGAATACACAAATAAAAAGTCAATCAGACATGAAAAGTAGGCTGATTGGGAAATATATCTGTAGCAGGTCCACTAATGAATAGTCAATTGACTGCAATCGTATGACTTGAGAAGGAGCAGCACAGTGGGAGGGGGAAAATAAGTAAACAGAAGAGAGTTGGGTGAAAATGAGCTCGTTGTAGACCGAAGATAGTGTGACGAAATCAAACACCGATTGCGGTAAACGGAGAATACCAGAGAACGAATCAAACGGTTTACGTTACTCCTTTTCTATTCCGCTACACCTTGGCTACGAAAGTGAGAGCCTAAAACTGCAAGTTGCTATGGAAACGTGGATTGAAGGAAGTTACAAGAATGTCTGCTTAAGAAAAGCCAAATTTGTAATGCATGATATCAGAGTATCATTCAACCAGCAACAAGAAGTAGAGAAGAGTTTTCAAATGATGATGACTATTAACTGGTGATAATGAAAGAGAGGGTATGTGGTGTAAGTTGCTGGGCCGATAGGACAGGCACGCACAAAGGTCTCTATCTGGTATGAAACTACCGTGAATTTAGCAGTTCCTGCATTCAATTTCTTATATACATGGGACCTATGTGTGTGTGTGTGTGTGGAGGGGTCATTCAGTACACAAGATGCATGTCACGTGTAGGGGGTGTGTATGATTCTGTATTGTGAATGGAGCTATGCACACTGCACTGCAGACACTGCTCTGTGGAATGGAGAGCTGTGGACTGGAATTAACCAATCACAGTCCATGGTTTTGTCATGCAGATCACTTAGACACCATCTATCAGCCAATCACAGACTAGGATGTTTCTACCTCAATGAGTTGCTCCATAGTCCTGTACTGTTTGGATCCTCCTAACATCTAAAACAATAACTAATCATAGACATGGACATCATATCATTCAAACTTTCATTTCATTTACAGGTTTGGAAGTCATAATAAGTAATAAAACTTTTAAAAATCAGAGAAATGGGTAAGTGAAAGTCTGATTAAAACATACCAAAACAAAGTGATGTAGGGTAAGAAAATTTGATTACCAAAAATCATGAATTCTCTACACTATTTAGCAACTCTTAGGTTTTCAATCGGGAGATACTTTTTTGTCTTGAACATAACATTAAAAAAAGAGAAGAATGATAAGAAAAAAGAGAAGAATGATAAGAAAAGAGGAAAGAAGGACAATTCAAAGAATAATGGTATAAAAGCCAAGAACACTTGACAAAAAAGAGAAGATGTAATGATATACCATAGCTATCAAGACATATTGGTTATTACAAAAATAATAGAAAATGATTTCCTGAACCAAAAGAGAGAGAGAGAAAGAGTCAGAAAATAAGAGATAAGGGCCAAATTCATGAAAAGAAATCAGGAAATACCAGTTGATTGGGAGGAGTTGTATTAACTCTGACCCTAAACGACCTTTGTTCAATCACTGTTCAATCACAATATGTAGCCACATTCACATTTTAGATTGAGTTTTTTTAAAGACGATGTCACATATCATGCAGACATTCTCAGAAGTCCGAAACTTTTTGCACTGGCAGAATAGATGGGGCTAAAAAGTAAAATGAGGGGAGCCCGCCTATTTTTTAGCACCCCCTCCCCATCCCACTAGCAAAGCAAATGGTACCTACTTCTGGCCCTGAAAAAAAAGTCAATATATTAGCAATATTTGAGAATCATAGTATGGATATGAGAATTTTACCTATTGGTAAAAAATATTCTGACTACATATTATGCTGTATATTAGACCCTATTTACCTGGACAAAATGTCAAGTGTGAAAGAGGGTCTTGGAACACTTTAAATAACCTCTCCAAAAATGGAGCCGGTTTTGATCGTCCACAATGGCAACTAGAGGAAATGCAGAGAGGTTTGTAATAAGACAAGGAAGTGTATTGCATGGTAGCTTACACATGAAAATAAAGACCACATCCTCAGGTTTGACTTCAACAAAACAAGAAGAAGTCAAGCGGAAGTTTGCTGAATCTAGTGAGAAATGTCAACATCTTTGAACTTTCCTCTATTTAGCTGGTATTGTTATTTCCTTTATTAAATTCTTTAGCCAACCTACAGGATGATAAGAAAGATATCAACATGACAAATAAATGATATTTTGGTAGGTACTAAATATATCTCAACAAAGAGAATTCAAGCAGATCTCTCAATCTGTATTCATTGTGTATCAAACAAACACCTTTTAAAGGCAAATTGTATTTACTTTTTCTATTTAGGTAGAATGTGATCATAGAGATTATATTTAACTGCTTATGATTATGATGGTATGTATAAATGTGAATATTATTTGAAAACCTTATTTCCATTGTCCAATTATTTTCTTTATGATTTTGTATATTATTTCATATAATACAGTTCATGCATTTCAACTGACTATGTAGTAAATACATTTTTGTAACCTTATTTTCAGAATAACACTGCAACAATTTGTCAATGAGTCCAGTGAAATATCTGATTCTGTTGTCATATGAGCTTCAGACGTTCAGTTCTCATATTTTACTTGTGAAGTAGTCTCATTACATTTTCACACATTTCACCAGACCTCAAAATTCTTCACCCCTATTCAGCCTTCTTTTTTCCTAGCTCATCATGCAAAATAGTGAAATTCCCAGAGAAAATTGCTTTCTAGCTGGAGGCGGGTAGGTGACCTCCCTCTACCTTATAAGAAAAGAAAAGAAAAGGCAAGAATAAAATACTCTGCCACCATAGCTTCAGCCTAGAAATTTTTCTCTTTCTGTTGTAATTTATTTTTGAGCCTTAATCCATTTAGCACACAAATCATGGTACACAATAAGAGGCAGTGGGGTAGTGGAGCTAAGATGGAGAGAGGACGGGGTACAGGGAGGAGGATAGATGTGAGAGCCTTGACAGAAACTGCCCCCCCCCCCCCCCCCCAAAAAAAAAAAAAAAAAAAAATGTGAAATGGAAATAAGGATTAAAAACAATTGCAAATTCTATGCAAAGTGAGCTCTACTTTCATGCATTTTCAACGCTGTACAGACCACACAAAGGGAATTGGGACAAAAATAGTTGAATTCCTGTCACAAAATAGACTATACTTTGGAAAGAATTGAAGCATATTGAATCATGCCAGGGAATGGCATTCTTGTCATACTGAAGAACAACACATCGTGTAAATGTAAACCATATTGTGACTTTCAATGATACAAGAACTCCAAGACATATCTATGATATGAACTATATATGAAAGTAGACCATGCAATTTGACATTCATGATCTTGTATAATTAGAGGGCTTTCCTTTGATAGATTTGCTTTGGCTTCAATTATTTAAAAAAAATAACTCAAATTTCTTGTCTCTCTTCAGAGAGAAGAGAAATTGAGGTGAAATTTTGTTTGATCCATTGCTTTAATTCTATTCTTCTGGTGACCTAAAGCCTGATAGATTAATTGGTAAAATGGTGGCCATTCCTGAGACTAATTCAATTGATTTCTCATGAGACCTGATGAAGCTAGCCATCTAACAAAAGGATTCTTCATCTATGCTTCTGCTTTTCTCCATCACAAAGTACATCAAAATGTCCAATATAGACCAACCAAGTATCACAGAAGGGCTGTTCTTTGATACCCCCTCCCCCAAATCATAGGCATAGCCAGGGGAGGGGGGGGGGCATTCCCCTCCCTACACAAAGAACACGTCTTTGGTACCCCAGTTTAAAAAATGAAAAGGAGCAAAAGTAAATATAAAATAAGATACACACTACAAAATACATAACAACGCGAAGTTCCAATACTTCGATATATATATATATATATATATTATCTCTTTTTTCCCTTCATGATTGCTATTGAACATTCAGACAAGATTCTAACAAATAATCTAGACATATACAAGAATATTACTTTTTGTATAAAAGTTCTAGCTCATTCTCTCCAAGAAAAATGATATAAACAATTATTTATTTTCCCTCTTCCATTTCTAACAGTTGTAAGAGAATACATTGCTCCTTATAATCACTTAAGAATCAGTGATGTATTGAGGTGACAAGGAACAGATATGGAATACACCATGGATTATTTACCATTTTGTGGGTAAGTAGAGAGTGATATATAACAGTGTGAAGACACAAATTTCAGTGTAGTATGTGTGACGATAGAAGAAGACACAACTAGGGATGACACATATCATCAAGCCAAGGGGCATATAATGCATTAAGAAAGATTAATTAAACAGAGGCTGGATATGAGTGAAATCAAGGTCTTCATCGGGTCAGTCCTAAAAGGATTGCCTGGCCACTAAGTTGCTTTATAATGCATGCGGTCATTGATGACGTTCAGCCTGTTCACACTTTACAGTATAAGACAGTGTTATCTTTGATGTGTGAACAGTGCTAGCTCGGACGTCAGCTTGTGCACCAGAAAGAGAATATAGACGCTATGTGGCATAATCCAGCAAGCAATTTTCCACCGAAAAATCCAAAAATAAATTTGAGTAGGTATTTATAAAAAGCTAAGCTATAGTGCAACCCCATCTCCTAGCAATGTGGGCGATCACCACTTTAGGGTGAATGTAAAATACAGACAATTTAGAAGGGAAAAAAAGCAGAAAAATATTCCCCCATGGGAGCAAATTTCAACAAATAATGTCCCATGAAAATAGGCTAAAATCAAGAAATAATCGTAACAAAAGTGATGAACAACAATTTGCATCTGACACTTTCAAATGAATTCAAACAAGTTGAAGTGCATTAATGTGAGCCGTATGTTCATGACATGCATCGAACATGACCCCACCCCTCCCTCTTTAAGTTGTATTCATGTATCAACATTATGATTTATAATTATGAATATATTCCATAAGTAATTTAGGCCATGGATATTTTTTTCTATTAGAGGAATTATCAGCCCCCCTGCCCCCTCTCTCTGTTTCTGTCTATATGCATGTCTCTTCATATTTTTTGTGACTCAGATCTTTTCTCTTTTGATCACTCTCTGTTTCTGTCTGTCTCTATCATTCTCAATTGTAGATGTTAAATGCAAGTAAAAAGCAGTAGAGCACGCATTTTAAATAATTCTCTATCTGTCCAAATTTATTCTGGAATTATCCTGTCCATATCCCACTACATCCCTCAGCATCTATTGGTTTCTACCCTGTGAGTCTCAAACCAGATGCATGCCACATCCAAAAGGGATTTGTGTTAAACTCTGACCAGCATTCACAATTCTGATTTCTCCACAAGTTTCCTTTACTCTGACTCTTCACAGTCCCCTAAATATCTACAAATGATGTCGTAGTCTTCCGTATTAAAGGTAATACAAAGTTTTGGGAAATTTGAAAATTGGCTGGATAGTGATTCTTTACGATGTTGAAATATTTGGATGCCTCTGTGAATGTATTATAAGCACTAACAAATTTAAGCCCCTAAAACACTTGTGCTTTCAAGAAAAATTGAATATCAAAATTTACTGGTGCTCCCGGTAAATTTCAATAATTTTCAAATAGTGCCTATGGCCATAAATGGTAGCATAAAAATCTCAGTATATGTAGTTGAGTTTTATAATTTCCAAACGGAAATAGCCAATTGGTCAATTTTAGTCAAC